GCAATGCATTGCCAAGAATTGGACTCCAAATAGCAGATTGTCAAATTAGGAAAGTTTAACATATTCTATCAGCTTTAAAATGTGATGATTTTCAATGAAAATTTAATGAGAAGAGTCTCCTTACTTACAAATATCGATAAAAATGTAACATTTTAGGATTAGCTTGTCTCAAAAATTAATTAGGCTGATTCAGTAGTTTATACGCAAGTTATTTTTACCTAGCTGTTCTTATAAACTCTACAATGACCAATATTGCATTGCATTCAGCAGCACATTTGCCCCCATTCAACAGATGTTTCCTACCTCCATCGCGAAAAAGTTCCACTAAGATGAGTAATCGCGCGATATCAAGTATTCATATAAAGTCGTTTTACGTCAAACTACGTTGGAAGTGTAATACTACAACCTTTTTTGTTGACATTATCTAACGGTTTATGAAAGCTTTTAATTTGATTGGTGCTGATCTATAAGAGAAGCACGCTCTCAAACAAAAACAGCTATATTGATGATACAATGTAGCATATATTGTGAACAAAGTTATAAAAATCTTATACACAACTCTTGGACACAACTATACAATGTAGCATATATTGTGAACAAAGTTATAGAAATCTTATACACAACTCTTGGACACAACTATACAAAGAATGGGTCCCTCTAGAGTTAAACGAAATGTGACTGAAAATTTACTGAAATTTAACTAAATGAAAACGTTTACTGATATTTTACTGAAAGACAAAGTTTACGGAAATATTACTGAATGATAAAGCTTACTGAAATGTTACTGAGTTACAAAGTTTACTGAAATGTTATTAAATAACAAAGTTATCTGATATGTACTGAATGATAAAGTTTACAGAAATGTTACTAATGACAAAGTTTACCGAAATGTTGCTGAAAAATAAAGTTTACTGAAATGTTACTGTATGACAAAGTTTACTGAAATTCTTCTGAAAGAAAAAAAGTTTACCGAAATGTTACTGAATGACAAAGTTTACTGAGATGTTACTAAATGTTAAAGTTTACTGAAGTTTGATGTTTTAATTTCAGTGGCAAAGTCAAGGAATTACTTCAGCTGACAACGTTTATTAACGCTTTTAAGTTGTCTAGGTGGATAAACACATAAAAAGAGCTTCCAAAAATTAAAGCCGTTTCACCTTTAATCAACGCCCAAGGACGTTCTATTTTTTCGTACATTTCTTATGCTAATGGAAAACCAGTATAGACATGTAATTTTTCTCCAAACCTGTCAATAAAATACGCGTTTAGATAAAGGTGATCCAGAGATTTTCACAAAACTTATGACATGCCTGAAATTGACGTCATCTAACATTTAAAAGATGTACAATAGATCACCAGTTAATAAACTAAATACACTGTATCCAGTAAAAAAAATACAACTCTCACACAAAGGTTTATAAAATTAAGATCAAGCAATTGTAATAATAACATAATTTTCTTTTTACATGTATATACCACATAGGGCTGTTTCATCATCATTTCACTTATTAAGAATGAATTAATAATAATGAAACGCGTTAATGTCTCCCCGGCATTTCCAAACAACAGTTTCTATGGTAACTGCCATAGAGTCAATATCATAACTATTTAAAATGTTTTTTTTTGTTTAAAATATTCAAAAAGTTCCTATATTCTCGTTAGTAATTTTAAAGCAATTTAACTAAAAAATAAATGAAATATGAAGAAATTCCACGAACTTTTGGATTAACCCTCGTATCTCTTGTGTTTTCAAATTAAAAAAAAATATTTAAGCTTGATCTAGTTACAGGATCCAAATTCTCCCCATGTCATCGGCCCTCGTCATTTCTTTGACAGAAACCATTTCTGTCACAGGATGAAAAGCCAAGTTTCCCAAAATTTTGAAACCCGATGGAAACATATGGGAATCGTGACATCAGTAATTTCTATAGAGTTTACATTTTATGGAAACCTCATAGTGGTTTCCACATAGATTCCCGATGTGGAAACAATTTTATAGTGAAAATGCATTATTTCTTTGATAATCTTCTTTTCTGCACCTGGATATTAAAAAAAGTAATGAGTAATTATAATGTGGAAAGAGTTGTGTATTTTTTCCAAAATTATATATTTTTATGGCCTAAGAGGCAGAGGATTTGGTGTTACGGAGGGGTTCTCTCTATTGGTTATATAGTGAAAATACATTAATTCTTTGAAAGTTATCTTCTCTGCTTCTATGTATTGAAAAAACTAATATGCCATTCATACGACGAAAATTTGCCTATATGAGCAAATTTATATATACATAAATCTATACATGTAAGTAAAAGTTAATTTGCTCGTAAGTAAAAGTTAAATTTGCTCTGCGTTCAGACGAGATTTATGTACTTTTAGTAAATTCTCATAGTTTTATATAAAAGAAGGGTATGGACAAATTCAGAATTATGGTGTTTTATAGAAAAGCTGTATTTCCTAACTGTTTTGGTATAAGACTAACTTTTGAATGTTCCTCAATAAAACTAGGGGGAAATCCTACCCACTGATTTATTGGTACGAAAAAAACAAAACGAACCTTAATGACTGAAAAGGACAAAGAATGGTTTAGGAAATGTCACAAGAATGAAAATTTATTAAAATTTATTGTTGAAAAATGTTTTGGCCCAAGAGACCGTAGAAGTGCCTTTGGGTGTTAGGAAAAAGTTGACTGTTGCCATCTACTAGTTGAAGTCCTTGGCAGAAGTATAGGACGATTAGAATCTTTTGGTGCTGGAAAATCTACAGTACATCAAGTGTGCGAGGGCCTTATAAAATACCTGCTTGAATATTACAATTGTATTTTCATGGAGAATAAAAAGGATAAAAAAAAACCAACAGTGCTCGATCTAAAAAAATCTTTGAAGAATACAAATATGTGAACAGGAAATTAACACGAACCACAGGACATTCATGTTGGGATCAGGTGTTCCGGGGGATACTTACAAATGCTTACTTTCAACGAGTTTATTGACATTCCTGTAACATTATTTTATATGTGAGCAGTTTTTGTGTGTATTAAAAACAGAGTGGTAGAAGAAAGTCGTTAAGAGGTAATGGGGCCCGAGCGATTGATGAAATGTTCCTATCATAACTCTGACGCATTCTGAAGGATACAAGTTGAAAAGCAAGGACACTACTTATTGATCCTACTGGACACGTGTTTGCGACCACAGCTATATTTTTAAAGACACACACATAGGTTTGCAAGAGAGGGTGCTCGTTTTTGCAAATAAATAAATTCATCTAGGAGGAGATAATGGCTGTTTGTTTACAGTTTTGACTTCTAGCCACCATGTTTACCGACTGATATACACGTCAATATAAACGTCAATGCATATACAACCGAAAACAACACTTAAAAATGAGATTTACGTAATAAACAAAACAAAAAAACATAATTTTGTATAAGTAAATTTGCTGGTGTTCATACGATAAAATTTACACACATGAATTAAGAATTTGCTTAAAAGTGTATGCAAAAGTTAATTTGTACCTAGTCCTGACCAGGTGTAAATTTACTCAACTGTGCAGAATTTGCATATGAGTAAAAAAGTTCATGCGACAAAAATTGCACATGTGAATAAATTTACTTATGTGGAAATTATACTGAGGTATGCACATAATGTCGTATGAATGAGGTATTAGTATATAGTTATGATGAACAAGAGTGTCTCTTTGAAAATTGTGGATTTCAGAACCCAAAGTCAGGGATTCTGGTGTTAGGTTCAGTCTCAATTAATTTTAAGGTGAAAATGCATTAATTATTTGAACACATCTCTGTTCCTGGGTATAAAATAAGAACATAATACTTACGTTGAAGAATGGTACTTCTTTCAAAATTGCGAATTTCACGGCCCAAAAGTAAAGGTTCTTGTGTTAGGACGGACCTATGTATATTATATATACTGAAATGCGTTAAATCATATACTATACTGGGTTTTAAGGAGGTAAATCATAGGCGTCGCAACCTAGGGAAAGGGGGTAGGTATTTTTTCATCCAAAGATATACATTTTTTATGTCTTGAAAGTTGGGGTTTACCTTTTTTTGTTGGTTTACCCTCCCTTCCCCGCTTTCAATTTGCTTTCGACGCCTATGTGAACTACCTATACAACTATGGTGAGCAAGTGCCATTTTTCAGAATTGTCAATTTCAATGTTCCTAGGCAAGGAGAACCGTAGAAGTAGGGGACTCTTACAATATGCTGAAAATGATTAAATATTTTGAAATGTTCTCCTTGGTATTAATCAAACATTTTTGATGAGCAAGGATGTCTTTTCTAAAATTGTGAAATGTGTGAACCCAGAGTTCCTTTTGGGTGGGGGACTAATGATTATTGTTGAATATTACAAAGAAGGGGGCAATTTTCACAACGTGAGCCCCCCTCCAACTTCATTTCATTTTTATTTCTTTTGACCTTCAGTTCCGTTAACAAACATGCTACTGCAAGCCTGATGAAAGCAAAGCGGGGATTATATTCCGTTTAGTTTAATATGTTTTTGTTTCGAAATTGCAAAATAGAGTGGCATTTTACATTTTTGGCGCAAAATGGTGTTGAATAAATAAAAAAAATAACAATCACATAAACGTTCATTTGACATTAAATAATTAACACCGAAATAGTACATGAATATGTTTAATATTTGGACAGTAAAGTATTACACAATAAAACAAACATTTTTTTGATAATCATATCATGAGGGTCGTATTACAGTATTGCAGCAGTAAAAATCACGTGTGTAAAATGCTACATTCGGCCCACGAGGAGCAATTTCACATCTGTTTCAACATTATATTCCTCGATATTTTTATTATTAAAAAGAAGTATTATAGAGTAGAAATACTCTTGTAAAATAGAGTAATTTTCTTTGTAGAAGAAATGAATGATAATTTCCGATATTATCAATTCAGAACACCGGCAGTGGAGTGAAATCCGTATAAATACCTAAAATAAACTACACATCGCTTACATTTCCTAACAGTTACAATTCAAAATGGCATCGCAGTTGGTTAGAGCCTTTGTCATCGGGGTTATCGTTTCTGTTGCCCTCGGTTGCTGGCCAGTTCCAAAAGTAGACCAGGAAGAGTTTTGCTCTGCAAAATATGGTATGTTACAATTTAGATGGAAATTTATTTAGTGATTAAATCTTTCCTTTTTTAAATTTCGTACAAGATTTATTTGTTTTTGTATGGGGTGGGTGGGAGCAACGCAAGGTCTTTGAAACGAAAGTAAGTTACGGCTACAAATGTAGGTATAGGTATTTCTAAGCAAATGAGATTATGAAAATGCATAATTTGTTTATTTTTACACAGAGAAGGTTCACGAATTTTTCTTATACATACTTAATACCCACATCATGGTAAAGCAACTGCACAGTTATGACGTCATATTTATGACGTAATTGATCTTTTCCATTCAAGGTAATAAACACATCAAGAAAACAACGTTGGTCCAAGGGCATATCTTATTTAATTTTAAAGAAAGTATAATATTAAGAGGAATGTTAAAAACGTAAAAAAAAAATTGCTGCAGAAATCCTATGTGCTTTTCTAATTGATAAACAATTTTAGCCAAATTACACAGGACAATGATTTTTTTCCTTGTGTCAATTTAATTTTTTTGAAATAGTAACTTAACAATTATAATCTCGACATTAGTGGAACAATATCATAAATCCATGTAATATTCTGCATCTATTCATAGCTTGTTTCTGAAGAACAAAGTTGGGTATGCCCTTGCGCCTTACCTATTTTATTGATGTTCCTTCTAAACATGTGTAGTACAGGACTATAACGTCATAATGTGCACTCACTAACGCATGTCGTAGTTACCAAGTTTGTGAAAGAAAACAAGTTTTAACTTTTTCTGTTTTGCTGTACAGCTCTTAGGCGTTTTAATTAGTTAATTGCATAGAAATCTCTATACATAGCCTTAACTTTCTTGCGAAGAGGTGAGTGAAAAAGCTAAGGCCGTGGTATTTGGAACCAAACGAGAAAGCCAACGTCGTCGTTACTCTAACAGAAGTACTAAAAGTTAACTTTAGTTTACTAATACTACTAGTACTGGTACTAGTACTAATAACACTGTGTAGTGATAATGTTGGCCCTTTGATTCCCTAAGGTTATTAATCTGAAAGTTAGATTTACTAAAGTGATAACTATTAAAAACTTTAATTTACTACGGTGAGAACTTTGATTAAGTGTAGTGTCACTTTGACATTACAGTGATCAGTTTGAAAAAAAAAATTATTTACTGTTACGATACCTTAACACTTTGATTAACTATAGTAACCTATAGTTAATTAAGTTAACAATAATAAACTATATTTAACTGTAGAATTTTATTGTTAGGGAAAATTAATTAATTGTATGTATGCTGTCTAACGTCCCTCTTGAGAATTTTTCACTCATATGGAGACGCCACCACTTGCCGGTGGAGTGCTACAAATTTTGTCCTATATACTCGGCACTCAGGGCCATTGAGCAGTGAGGGATCTTTTTCGTGCTAGCACCTACTGCGACATGGGGTCTAGATTTATACAGTGTCATCCGAAGGACCGGTCTCCATGTCCCACAGTGGGATTAGAATCCGCGACGCAAGGAATGACTTAATACCTTGACACTCTAGAACAGACGCTCTAACCACTGCGCCACGCGGACAGCGGGAAAAATCGATCAAGAAAGCCAAGCTCGTCCTTAGAACTGAGTAAGAAAGCCAAGGTCGTCATTAGATCTGAGTAAGAAAGCCAAGGACAATTTAAGAACTGAGTTAGAAAGTCAAGGTCGTCATTTGAATTTAACTGAGTAAAAAAGCCAAAGTCATCATAAGAACTGAGTGGGAAAACCAAGGTCATAATAGGAACTGAGTGAGAAAATCAAGGTCATAATAAGAACAGAGTGAGAAAGTCGAGGTCAATGTAAAAGCTGAGTAAGGAAGCCAAGGTCAATGAAAGAAATGAGTGAGAAAATCAAAGTCCTCAATAAAATCGAGTTAGAAAATCAAGGTCATCATTAAAACCGAGTGAGAAAGCCAAGGTCGTCAAAAGGACTGAGAGAAAGCCAAGGTGAACGTAAGAACTGAGAAAATAAAGGTAATCATTAAAACTGAGTGAGAAGGCCAAGATCATCATAAGAACTGAGTGAGAAAGCCAGGGTCGTCATAAGAATTGATTGAAAAAGTCTAGGTCAATGTAAAAAAATGGGTCAGAAATTTAAGGTCATAATTAAAACTGAGTGGGAAATCCTAGGCCGTCAGTAAAAGTGAGTGAGAAAGTCAAGGTCAATGTAAGAACTCAATGAGAAAGCCAAGGTCGTTATAACAACTGAGTGAGAAAGAGCCAAGATCAAGGCAATAACTGAGTGAGAAAGCAAAGTTCATCATAAGAACTAAGTGGGAAAGTCAAGGTCGTCATATAGCTGGGTGAGAAAGTCTATGTTGTCATAAGAACTGAGTGAGAAAACCAAGTTCATCATACATGTAAGAACTAAGTGAGAAAGTCAATCTCGTCATAAAACTGGGTGAGAAAGTCAAGGTTATCATAAGAACGGAGTAAGAAAGCAAAGGTCAAGGTAATAATTGAGTGAGAAAGCCAAGATCAACATAAGAACCGAATGTGTCTCCTCAATTTTTCGCTAAGGGGCATACAAATACAACAAAGTTTTGCAGTAAGCTGTACATGGGAAAACTTTTATTTTTAAATCAATTTTTCCACTCTTACAGCATTTAAAGCCACAGTAACGTCAGTAGAACAAGTTGATAAATACTCTGATTATACATACACAATCGACATCCTAGAGGATTACAAGGTTGGTACAATACGCTATTCAAGGAGAGGAACTCGTAAGTTGAAAGAACTTGTTTCCAATCCTTTTGTTTATACAATAAAATATGTTCAAAACAAACAATACGCTATATATACAATCAACGTTCTGAAGGATAATAGGTGTGTACAATACGCTACATATTTTTATTTGACCTCCTAGGAGATTATTAGATTTATAAAATACGCTATTTCATATACAATCTACATCCCCGAGAATTACTAGGTTTGAACAAGATTTTTTTTTTAATTTGCATCCTTTCCGTAGATAAATGTCAAAATCCTAGAGAACAACAAAGTAGGTACGTGTAAACAATTTTCTTATTAGTTAATTTATATAAAGATAAAAATCAAAATCAATATAAACAAATACATGTATTTCACTTTTCATCTGTAGAACACAAATAAAGCGGTGGGCAATGTTGACACAATTATTGGAGATGGACCAATGAATTCCTGTGGAGCACAAAAGCTAAATATCGGAGAGGCATACTTAATTTACGGTAAGCACTCATAAAGAAAAAAAAGTGAAGTAGGTTAGAAGTCGGAAATTTATTAGATCGGGGAGTCTGATCTTATTTGTGATACTTACTTTTAAAGAAAAAGACCTGACATCTTTATTAAGTGTCTAATTTTAATTATTAAATAGGGAGGCTTACCTGATTAACAGTAATTACTTTCTAGTATTTAGAAAAAAAGTGATGTCTGTCAAAAGTAATTTATTAAAGTGTTCCCTCATTAACGGTAATTACTTGTACTAATAAATAGAAAAATCTTATATGTGAAATAAGGAAAAAGTTATTTATTAGATTTAGGAGTCTTACCTTATTCACTTTTATATAGAAAAAAAAATAAAATAAGTAAACAGATTTGATTTAGCTCTTAAACATTGTTTGGTATCATTTTCTCCAATTTTACAACATAGACAAACATAATCAAAAATTAAATATAGTAATGTCCTTTACAAGGAAAAGAAAATTACTGATAATCTGTGTTATAAATAATTGATAATAAAATAATCTTACTATACAGTGTCATCTTTAATAATCTAACAACCTAGGTGTATTTTATAGCTTATGTCCGCCGCTACAATGGAAAGCTCTATATTGCCAAGTACACAAGCATGGACTACGTTAAACCTAGTGATATTGAGAGAATTAGAACAAAATATGACTGTGATTGCAAGGTAATTTTCATAGAACAGTATTAAAAACATTTCGAATGCTTTTTCTTTAAAATTTCAAGCTTTTAACAAGAGGTGTTATCATTGTCATAATGTATATATGTCCAAAAGCCTCGTAGCTTAAAATGGTTAGAAACTGCACATGATATACCATTACGTTTTGCTGAAATATCTTAAAAATGTGTTAGAAAATTTCAATGAATAAAAAAAAAAGAGGTGACCATAACAATATATAAGAAAAAAAGAAAAAAAAACGAAAATCATTCAATCCTAATAGAAACGTATCATAAACTTTAAAAGTGATTTGATTGCTGCCTGCATTGATTTTTGCAGATAAAATGGTATTATAGCAACATTTTGTCGAGGGCTTCACTTGGACTCCCCCCGCCTACTCGAGACGAGTGTAATGTCCCCGGGAAATACTGCAGAAATAGCGCCTACTGTCGGAAAGATGAGACGGGAGTTTGCACGTGGGGTAACCTGGGAGAATGTTACTAAATGAAGACGATGTGTTAATTTGTAATCATGATGCATTATTATCAATATTAAATGTGTCCAAACACTATATATTCTTTATAGAATCTTTATTTTGAACGTGTTTTTAATATTTCTTAAATTTTAAATTTAAATTATAACCAGTGGATTTTAAGGTATGTCACTCGTGAAATTTGTTAAATCAAAGATTTTTTGAGAAGTATATTTTAGATAAGCACTCATTTGACTCAAAATCGCAGAGAAAATAGGGGGTCAGTGTGCATCCTACTGATCTACGGTACAGTTAAGTTGACCTTTTTGCACTTAAACTTTAACTCTTTGGTTAATTACATTAACCGGTAAAATTTTACAAGATATAACCAAGGCAATAAATACAATTTTATTTTACTTAAAATAGTTTGAATAACATTTATCATTGAACAAATCTTGCAAATTAATGCACGTAAACTATTTTGTGACCTTTTTGCATCAACAAAGTAACATATTGGGGTATTAAAAAACTAAATAAGCATTAAAACATTTTCTTAAATCAAGGTTTTTACGATTTAAGTGCTGATCAGTCACAAGTATCGATTACTTTAAAATAATGAAAGAAAAAGTTGGCGTCAGTGATGTTAATTTTGAAATATTGGTCAAAATATGTAATTTTCAGGCGAAAAATGAAGTAAATTTTATCTTGATTTATTTGACATACCTTCATTTTTTGGCAAAGGTTGTTGAAGGAAGTTGTAAAACTTTTTCTTAAAATATATATTAAGATGTATATGATATACATGTATTCCTAGCAATATCAGAATGGAAAATATTCTCTGAGTAAATATATGTGAGGCTATAGTTCCAGGATATTCAATTCAAAAAATGTGCAGATTTGCAGATTTATCTACTAAATATCCTTCCACCTGAAGAAATAGTCCCTCATAAAATTTACTTCTTTGTAGCATTTTGAGAAGTTTTTTCGTTGAATGTTAAAACATTAATATTGTTGAATTAAACTTTGTTATAAAAATTGTATTTTAATGAATAGTTTTCAAGTAAGAGGTTCTGCGTGAACTTTTCCAAAAACTGACGAGTGACACACCTTAAGGGGCGAAGGATGTATGGTCACATGACTTAGTTTAATTACGTCATAATCTCTGATAAAATAGGTACAAACCCAGATTGAAACCACAGTATTTGTGGAAATGTTGACTGTTTGAGTTCACCATCTTGCATGAAAATATCTAAAAACATTCAAACTTTCTTGCAAATATTTTTAAATTACAGAATAGATTGATCCACTCTTCTGTTTCCCTACACTGCGTGTCCAATGAGTCGTTGACGTCATGGTGGATCTCTTAGTACAGTAAGATTATATATGGTAAAACACGGGTAGTATTATATCATCAAAACGATCATGATTGGTACAACTAGGGGTATTTTGTGAATTAAAGAACCCAAAAAATATATGTTTACATAGTTGTTGACAGAAATACATATGTAATAGTTATGTCTTATGTCGCTTATTACGCAAATATGTGACGTCATAATTGGGTTTTCCCCTACTCGAAAAATGTAAACAGGACACGTTTTTCTAATGCTCATCTCTTGTTTACGTGTGTCCTGTGCAATATTGAGCTCAGCTTCACCAATCGATATTTTTACTGTTAATCAATAACATGACGAACTTGCATTGCAACGTACATTTTCAAATATTGAATGATAGGAGATTTTGCAAATTAATTTTTTTGTTGTTAAAGTTGTCTTAAAAATGCGTTTCTTCCCGTCTCCAGATGCGGTGAGACAAAAAAATCTTGTTTTTTCGAATTTTTAACCATATTCTTCCTTTGAAATATTTTTAAAGACACATTTCTGCTGACATATTTTTTATCTTTTCTGAAAAAAATTCAATTATCGGCCGAGTAATGAGCCCAGAAACATGGTTAATAAGAAATTCACTTAGACACTGTAGGGTTTCGTATTTGTCACTCAATATCTCAAAAATAAGTCTAAAAACCTATTGATATATCTGCTTTTTGGTATATGGGACATACTAAATTAGAGATATACAATATATGAAAAAAAAATTGAACGACGCGTATTTTTTCAGCTCAAGTTAATGTCCTTCATCCCCTTAAGGGAATACAAAAGTTTTGTAGATACCGTCATTATAAAGAGGAGAAAAACTATCTACTCCACAGGGGCCGGTAACATACTGTTTTTGATTTTACGTAATCACTATATATATATATATATATATATATATATATATATATATATATATATATATATATATATATATATATATATATATATATATATATATATATATATATATATATATATATATATAATTTACATAGGGTCGATCTCGAAATTATTCCGTATTTCATAGAAAACAGAATGTAGCCAATTAAATTATTACTTAAAATCATACTACAATAAATATTCTTTAATAAAACAGAAACCTCGTTACTTTTTAAAACGTTTAAGTTGGGTAATACTAACTCGATATCCCGTTGTGCAAGTCGATGTACTTTAAGTCGTCCACTAAAACGATGCAAAATTCACACATTTTCTCCAGTTTTGAAGTCTTTCCGGAGATGGAAAACACAAAGTAAAGATCCAGCGTTCACGAAAATCATCTTCTTTCTTTTGTTACTTGCAATTAAAAGGTACAACATCTCCGATTTGAATAAATACGGTATCTTTTTCGTTCACAGAGGCTCGAGCCCAGAACAGACGACATTTTGGAGGGAAAAAAAAACATGATTAGTAAAAGGCGCAGCGTAATTGGTCAGAACTGTTCTAGAAAAGCACAATTGACCAATCACATCTCGCGTTAAATATTGGATGCAATGTTTAGCGAATTTAGTGGACGACTTAAACTACTTGCATGACAGGATATCAGATCTGCAAAACACGACTTACACGATTCTTCAATGACTGCGATGGTATTTTTATTAAAGAGTGATTATTACTGAATGATCCCAGACGTTATTTCACTAACTGCAAGGTATTTTATTGAAAACACGAGACATTTCCGAGATCGACCCCGTGTAAATTCGGACTGACGTTGTTTCCCTTTCTCTTTTTGTATACATATAATGATTACATAAAATCAAATACAGTATGTTACAGGCCCCTGTGATCTACTCCTTCACATACACTGTGTATATTGTAGGAGGGTAAAAATGCATATAACGCTTATTTATATCAACTACATTGTACCACAAATTCAATGACATTCTATAGAAGATTATTTTTAAAAAGGAGAAAAAGTTTCAGCATAATAATGATAAATGGATGTTCCAGTGCTTTCACAATTTTCCGTATACTTTATTAAAACGGAAGCTTGAAATTGATCGATTTTATTACGTTCCTTCTTGTTTATTTGATATAAATAAAGCTCAAATTTCTACTTAAAGCCGCTTGGTCCGATTCTAATGTCTAAAAAATATATTCGTTTTTCTTCTTGAAAAATAATTTTCCATAAATTATTTCAACTTTTGTCAAATTATATCCCCAAAGTCTTTTTCTTTTTACAGATATCGAACTTCAAAAGTTAAAAAATAATTTTTGTTAGGTCACACAATAAATAATCCTTTGTTGACATTTTGTTGACATTGCATGAAGTCACCTTCGAAAACTTAAATTTATCGTTTACATGTATAACTCATGAAGAACAAACCCGAGCATTTTTTCCACAACAAAGTGTACACGGGCAATATTCTAGCCCTCGTTACGGAATCCCCTTTTTAAAAAATCTTTAAAAATATCGTATTTTTTTATTCCGCAAATATGCATATTAATATAAAAATTACTATGGATTATCGATATATTCAATTAATTCCTTAATTTTTAAAAGATATGACTTAGGATTCTACTAATTGAAAAAATAAAATACTCGGGTTTGAATTCTCTTCGTAATTAGATATATCCGATAAAAGGTGACTTCAAAACAGATCTTAACTTTCCGTCAGGTACTGCTGTTTGTCAACAAGGTTGTTGGTCTATGTTTTCCAAGTAAGGATTGTTGTAATAAACTATTAAACCAATCTTAATAATTGATTTTTATATATTATCTAGTATGTAATGACATACTTTTATTGTTTAAGATAATATGTGCCTATTTCGGATGAAGGGGCTTTAATCAAGAACATAAAAGCGCTATCTATGTATTTTTTTTCATAAAACTGACAATTTTAATTTTTTTGGTCATACTTTCTGTGAATTATACGTACATAAAACAAATGTCAATACAGGAAGCAATTTCACTCAAAAATAAATAAAATTTTTGGATTAACCCTCGTATCTCTTGTGTTTCATATAAAAAAAATACAGACTAGTTATTTAAGCTTTTTCTAGTTACAGGATTCTAATTCTTCCCATGTACATCGGCCCTCGTCATTTCTTTGACAGAAATCATTTCTATCACAGGATGAAAAGCCAGGTTTCTCAAATTTGGAAACCCGGTGGAAACAATGGAAATCATATGGAAATCGTGACATCAGTAGTTTCCATAGTGTTTCCATTTTAAGGAAACCACATAGTGGATTCCACATAGATTCCCGACATGGAAACAATTAGCTTGTGGTTTCCCGTAAGTTTCCCAAGATAGGAAACAATGGAAACATGCCTAAGTATACCCATTCATTTCGTGCAAAAACACATAATAAAAAATCTGATTTTATACTGATTATTTTTTAAAAGATGATAGTTTCAAATAAAAGTATACTTTTTTGGACTTAAAGGTCTATTATAATTATATACACATTTGTTGTTATTGCCTGTGATAAAGTTAACAGTTGTTGATGTAATTAAAAAAAAATTAAAATCTTATAATTCACATTTATTCTGTAGAGGATTTGAACATCGAAGCCATGACTTTGGATGTTGCCGACACGCAGACACAAAAAAAGTTTTATTTTTTTACCTAACCTGTGCCGAAGGCAAGATGTTTGCTGATCTTAATGCTGAAGGTCAACGGAACCATGCAAGGGGTTGGAAAAATATGATTGACAATATACAAATAATTAAGGAACGTCTTATTTTTCGAT